ACAGCCTTTTTCCTGCCCATTCCGCTAACCTACCTGAAACCTTGTACAGAGCCACCCGACTCCTCAAAGTGAGCAGATGATAAAAACCAAAGGCCTGTGGGTTCTCTTGTACCTACAAATCAGTCACCTCAAATCATTCTCCACTCTTTATTTTCTGTTGCTGTTAAAACAAATCATTTCCAACTTAGTGGCTTAAAGCCACACAAAGTTATTATCTTAACATTTCTGTAAACCAGAATGCTGTGGATCTCAGTGGGTTGAGATCAAGATGTGTCGGAAGGGTGCATTTCCTGGAGGCTTTAGAGGAGAATCCATTTCCTTGCCTTTTCTGGCCTCCAGGTGCCACTGACTTTCCCTGCTTTATGATCCCTTCCTCCATCTTCAGAACCAACAACATGGGCCTGAGGCTCCCTCTGGTTCCCTCTTCCGTCTAAGGACCCCTGTGATTGCGGGGACTCACCCACCCAGCTAATCCAAGATAATCTTCCTTTTTTTAAGATTCCTTGACGAGCACCCAAATTCAATCTGTGCCATGTAATCTAACATTTACAGATTTCAGGTATTAGATATAGACAACTTGGGTGGCCATTCTCCTTACACAGCTCTTGATACTAATTGTAGTTTAGTTTTGTGGGTGAACTAATCTTAAAATATTGGTGTTATAATACATCTAAGACCATAGTATGTTTAGAAGTAAGAGCAAATAATAACATTAGAGAGAATGGAGTGTAAAACTTTGGATATTAACATGTTTATGTATTAACATAAAACAACTGGTAAGTTTATAATCAGCTGTTCTTAGTTTTTAATATAGTAGCTGTGTCTTTAAAGAAGGATATGAATCAAGTATAGCTGCATTATAAGAGCTTCCTAATGAACCAATTATTGTTAAAGCAAGTAGTTCACATAATTTTAACATTTGAATATACCAGTTGCATTATTCCCATCAGATCCAAAACAGTCAGGTTACCACTTAACTACTGACTACAAAGGGCAACATACATAATCAATTCCTGACTTGTTTCTCCCAAAGCAAATCACAAACAAAATTAGTTACTGCTTTTAAAAAGTGCAAAATACCCTGATTCTTTGATTCCTGTTTCATAAGTTTCACTAATTCATGTGTAGAGCAAGAGGGTACATGAATAGAGGAGCTGAAAAACAAATACATCAAAAGCTAGAAATGTTTTGAAAACATGAGCCCACTGTTCATTTATAGATGCAGAAATCAGTCCTTGGAGAAAACCCAAGTATATGTGTTTAAAGAAAAGATGGTGAGTCCAAAGTAACTCCCAGTATCCCCAAATACCTTGATTTCCCCCCCCAGGAACGTGTTCTTTAAAAGGAATCTTTACGAGGTAAGTATTGCCAACCTCTGGCTTAGATATTTGAACTCAATTTAAAAAGTGTTCTCATGTTCACATTCAATACTTAGTTTCAGAAGCATCATAACATTTATAGTAAAATTATCTTTAAGGTCTTCATTGATTACTACATATTTTGTGCTGGAAAAGTATCTCACCTGTCTTCAACACCATCACTAGGAAAGCAAAAACAAACGTTGAAATTTACCACATGGAGTTTTAAGGTGAAAAAATTTTTTCACCAAATCGTGTAGACTTACAGGAGAATCTCCAGGTGGCAGTTTTCAGTTCTTTTATTTTGTGACTATTCTGTAGGCATTTGCTAGGTTCTCGGAATGCAATGGTGAGCAACGCCATTGCCTGCACCCTTCGGCGTCTGCAGCATGGAAGGCGTGATCACGTACATCCCTGTAAGTCAGCTTTGAGAAGCAGCTTTAAAGCAACAATTCTCAAACTTCTCAAACGGTTTCAGGACCTTTAAACGCTTTTGTTTTTGAGGAATAATGTGTTTAAAGATAATCCCATCGTGTTAGAATTTTTTTTTAATGGAAAATAACTTAGAAACTAAATCGGTTTAGTGAGAAGAGTGTCATTATTATCTTTTTTCCTTTTCTTTTTTTAATCCTCACCCCAGTATATTTTTCTATTTATCTTCAGACAGAGTAAGAGAAAGGGAGAGAGAGAAAGAGAGAAACATCGATGTGAGACAGACACATCAACTGGTTGCCTCCTGCACGACCCCGACCAGTGCCAGGGACAAATGGGAACTGAGGTATGTGCCCTTGACTGGAATCAAGCCCACAACTCATTAGCCTGCAGGCCGATGCTCTAACCGCTGAGCGAAACCAGCCTGCGCGAGTGTCATTTTTTTTATTTTTGCACATCTCCAATGTCTTATCTGCATTCAATGTTTGACAAGATGTCACTTTGTTTGAAATAGATGAAGAATATCTGGCTTCACACGGATTTGTTGGGAAAAGAGATTCTCTGCACACCCTGAATGATCCTTGGACTACACTTTGGGAAGCATTGCTCTAAAGAAAGGCATACTATTTTGAGAGACTATGTGGCCCCATGAGAGGGGTGTGGTTCGGGCAAAGTTTCCTTGAAATCTTTGTAACCATCCATAGAACAGCTTTCTTGCCTTTACTCATAAAGTGTGTATCTTTAAAAGTCAGAATTCATTATCACTGTCAAGGAATTTTTTTTAGAGCAGTTATCCTTATGATCTCAATATCTCAAGAGCTAAATGAAGTACTACGGACCCAAACAAATTCAGGTCAGAGTTTTGCAGTAAACTGGACCGAGCTAGCTTGCAGAGTTGTGGTTTCTGTTAAAAACAAACAAAAACCCTGTTTGAATCAATGTGTAGACATTCTGGAATTCCACCTTCTATTCGGCTCACACATGTTCAATGTGAAGAATAGTATGTCATTTGACAATGGTGCCAAAGTTCTCAGCTTTGGTTTTAGGCTTTCCAAGAATGACTGTCGCTTTCTGACTGCAATGGAGTGGCAAAAATGAGGCTTAAAAAAAAAAAAAAAAAAAATCTAGCCCGGCCTGTGTGGCTCAGTGGTTGAGTGTCAACCCATGCACCAAGAGGTCCCCGGTTCGATTCCCGGTCAGGGCACATGCCCAGGTGGTGGGCCCGATCCCCAGTGGGGGGCATGCAGGAGGAGGCCAATCGATGTTCTCTCTCATCAGTGTTTTTATCTCCCTCTCCCCTCCTCTCTAAAATCAATAAAGAAAAATAAATCTGTGAAGTTCTTCAAATGAAAAATTGATTACCTACTTTCTTTGTATAGACTGGAGCCTGCACAGGCAGACTTGCATTAAGACGTTAACTGTGCACCAGTCCGTTTCTTGTAAAGTCTCTGTTTAATAGATAATTACATGATTTTCCTTTATTTTTATTTTTTATTTATTTATTTTTTTGCTTTCCATTTTTTAAAACTTATTTATTTTTGTTACAGATGTTTTTCTTTCCCCCTCCACTGACTCCCCCCTCCCCATCCCTCCCTGCCCTGTCCCCAGCTTTGTTGTCCATGTCCACTGTTCATGCATACATGCATATAAGTTCTGTGGCTTATCTCTCCCTCACCACCCCCTCTTCTGGGGATTGTTAGTCTGTGCCCCACTTCCACGTCTCTGGGACTACCCCATTCCTCAGACTGTTTTCATTATATTCCACAAATAAGTGAGATCATGTGATACTTGTCTTTCTCTGTTTGGCTTATTTCACTTAGGCTAATACTTTCCAGGTCCCTCCATGTTGTCTCAAAGGCTAAGAGATCTTTCTTACAGCTGCATAGTATTCCATTGTGTATATGTACCACTGTTTTTTAGCCATTTGTCTACTGATGGACATTTGGGCTGTTTCCAGATCTTAGCTATTGTAAATAGTGCTGTTACGAACATGGGGGTAAATATATTTTTTCTGATTGGTGTTTCAGTCTTCTTGGGGTATATTCCTAGAAGTGGGATCACTGGGTCAAATGGCAGTTCAATTTTTAATTTTTTGAGGTAACACCATATGTTTTTCCTTTAAACTTGACATGCTGCTTATTACTAAGATTATTTTTTTCTCCATAGTCCTATGAGTACTTTGTATCAGTCATGTGTTGTCAGTTGCTTTCTTGGTGGCAAAATTATCATAAACATCAAATGAAAATGCTAAGTAACAACACCAGTTTGCAATAGCGGAGTGGGAGGTGTGGTGAAATGCTCTTCGCAATTCTATCAATCGCTGGTATTGGGCAAAATGTTATCCTTTTCTCAGGTTATCCTTTTAACGGTACAGATATGATCAGGACAATAATTTACAATGGCATTATTTAGAACCTGCTTTCTGCCCAATTTTGAGACGTGTAGACTTGAAAAGTTAAACATAAGTGAAGTTTAATATAAATAAAATTTAATTTTTAAATTATATTAGTTTTTCTAAGTGCATGGTTTGAAGTCAATTCTATATGGTTTATAAACACAGACCAACAGTATCTGCATTACTTTTCTCTCTAGAGGTACTTTCAACTCTATTAGACATTAGGATATTTGCCTTCATATTTGTAAGTGACATGTATATGCTATTTTAAAAAAGTTACAAAAACTATAATAGTTATTGATGACTTATGTGGAAGTTAAGGATTTAACTCTCATCAGTCAAATTCCTTTCCCCACCTTTCAGCATCACAATTTTTTGGTTTAAATCAGTATTCAAATTTCACATTGTCAGTCGTGACTATTCATAGCTGAGCCATGTAATATAATATTTCCTTATATAATTTTTATTTTTCCTTTAATAACATTTGCTTTTTTATTTTCTTATTTTTCTTTGTATCGCAGATGCATTCCCACCTAAATTTTACTTAAAAACAATTCATAGATGAATAAACACTAAAGAAACTAATAGAGTAAAAACTGAGTAATCAACACACAGATAAATTGAATGTCGGAAAAGCAACCAGAATCTTTAACTATATATATAAGCTTATAAAATTGTGTTAGCATTTAGACTATTTCAGGTAATAGTAAACAGTTGATTTTCAGTAAGCAACGTGCCAAAGAAATAACTACTAAAACAACTACATGTACATATATATTTTGTATATTAAAATAACGACTATTAGTTTGTGCAATCTAATTTTGTTCATCTCCATTATAAACATTGTACCCTTCTGATTCAATTAAATCAACTTTGTTTGAATCCTGAAAAAATACATCTTTAATTTTACCAACAAAATTCCTTTTAAAAATCTCTTGAGTAACAATATCTACCTTTTGACCATATTCAAAGCCCCCTAGATAAATAATACCATCATAGTTTAGAGCAACAAAATTTTTTTGTGGATCAATATCCTCAGAGAAAATTAGATTGCCATCTAGGTAGGCCTTAATAAGAGTTAGATTTTGAATTATAATGATATGGTGCCATTTATTACAACAGAAAGTACCGTTGCTGTAAGTCATAGGCACAGAGATGCCTTCTCCTAAGTTGACTGCTATTTTCAAGGTCTGATTATGGAGCCCAATTGCCAGAAAATCATTTTCTTCATTTTGAGCTTTCCCCATCCATACAATTAAGCCTTCTCTTTCGGTAGTACTGAAATTTAAGGATACAGTAGTAAACTGAAGGTTTCTTATTCTATAGTGTGGATCAATGTATTTAATGTAAGAATTACCCATAAATTTTGCAGTTGAAAATGAAGTTTTCTTTTCGCAATACTTTCCCACCCAACCCAAAGTACACAAACAGCTGTAAGAGAATGATTGGTCAGGTACACATAGAGACTGGTGGAGACAAAGGTTATTCAAACAGTACACAGACTGGTCACATACCTTTCCAGTCCAGTGTGGCAAACATCTGCAAAAAAAAGTCGTGCCATTTACCATACATTCACCCCTATTTCTGCACACGTTGTACCCACAGGCTGTCCCATCACAGTCACCTACATTTGAGCCACTTTTGGCTCCTAGTTCAGTTAACTGTAACTCCTGATTATTTATAATAACTTCTCGGACACAACCTTGAAAACCTACAGGTCCACTTGCTGTTGCCATGGGATTTACAAGACTTAAGGATGACACTCCTCCAATATAGAAGTCAGTATTTGTGTCCAGGTAGCTCATTTGAACATTGGCTTTTTCTGTTACATTTACCCCATCCAGATCCAAGTAGCCTTCCACACCGACTCTTCCTGCTTTAATCACATGCCAAGTGCTTCCATTAATAGTTACTTTTTGGAGAGTTTCTAGAACGATAGTTCTGTCACCGAGGTTGTAACGAAGTTGAACAGAACCATTTACTAAAGAGATACATAAAAAATCACCTGTTAAGAAAGAAAACCAGTTTAGTAACAGTGAAATGTTACTCCATTAAAAATTCTTGCTGTTTCTGGACACTTGAATAAGTTTTGTCTTGGAAAAAGAAGGTAACAAGTCTTTCTCATAATTATGGCAGAGAATATTTTTTCCATTTACAGATCAAAGTATATGTATACATTAATTCACACATTCTGTATTTTTTTTTATTCCAGAATTGGCCACATAAGTTTTCAATAGTTGAAAATATTTCCCACTGAGTGAATGTGTTGTGGTACTAAGTTAAAGTGAGGTCTTTTAACCATTTTAGTTAAAGGTGAATGTGTAAAATTAAGCAACATTTGCTCCAAGCCACTGACTTTATTTTTGAGATTGGGGAGGTAGTTGAAAGAAATAAGAGCAGTTAATAGTGATGCTATGAAAACCTTTGACTATAGCGTATGTGTTTCAGCCATGCTCTTGGCATCAAGTTTTATCTGTAAGTACACAGACCCCTAGTTGAGACCCCTGCTTGGGTGTTTTGAAGGCGCCTCGAACTCCAAAATTTGTAGCTCGGTTTGTGAACATCTCCTATACACCTGACCTCTTCTAGTCTCCCCAACTCAGTAGAGCGACTAGCCCTTCAGTGTTCGTTCTTGTTACAAGAGTGTAGCAAAGTGGTTTACCGAACAAACTCCGCAGGAATCTTCCTCTAAGCAGCATTTCCCCTTCCCCCTACCATTTCACGACCAGTAAAAACTTCTTTCCTTTTCTATCCAGGGAGATTTCTTGGCATATGCTACGATTCTTCTTTCCTCTTTCGAAGTGACTGGCTGCCTCACCTCCCACCTATAAACAATGTCTGTTCTCCCCTTTGTGGCCCACACTGGATCACTCTGGGATGGTTGGGAGACCTAGCAGCTCTATGGTTCGATAGCCATCATTTCCACCTGGGGAAAGTATATCAGACCATGCAAAGTATGATTCTCTTACTTTAATCATTTTCTCATAATTTCTAGTGAATATACTCTATGTCATCACATCTGTTATTATTTGATTAATAGCTGTCTTCTTCACTAGCTTGTAAACTTTATGAGAACGGGCTGTATCTGATTTGACCCAGCAGTTGGCTCCCAGCACTAGCACAGTGCCTGGCCCATAGGGAGATACTCAATAAATAGTTGTTGCATGAAGAAACACCTTGGTCTAGTTGTCTCAAGTACTAGCTTTGTAATATTAAAAATCCTACAATATGTACATTTTAAAATTTTAATTTCCCAAAAGAGAAATCCAGATTATTTCATATTTTCTAATATGAATAGCATTTTAAGTCTAAGGGAAGAGAGGCAGCATTACAAACATAAAAGAAGAAAATATTAAATGCAGCCTTAGATCTCTGGAGTCTTGCAGATGTCCTCTGTCTAGCTAATCCTTCTAGGTTGCTAGTGACCAGAGAGTTTGTGATCACATGATCATCTCTATTCCTGCTATAGGACTGACTGACACGACAACTGGATGGAGCAAAAAAAAAAAAAAAAAAAAAAAGATCAAGAGTCAAACTTGGGGAAAACTAAGGCAGTGTGTGGAAGGACTCAGAACATGTAAAATTTCTTAAATATTAACTTTAAATAATTGTGCCATTGTCACAAATAATAAAAACCCTTTACACTTTTTGTAAAAAAAAAGAACATATTAAATTCAGATAGGATCACTTAAATTTTTTAGACCATAAGAAAGTAGAATAATTTAACATAATTTATATTGCTTTAAAAATTTATAGCACTCTGACCCTGGCCGATGTGGCTCAGTTGGTGGGAATATTGTCCTATACACCAAAAGGTGGTGGGTTCGATCCCTGGTTGGGATGCATGCCGGAGGCAACTGATCAAAGTCTCTCTCTCTCCCCCCCCCCCCTTCCTCTATCTAAAAAAAAAAAAATCAATTAAAAATAAAAATATATAGAACTCCGAATATACTTTCTGCCTTGCAAATGGACACAATTCTCTATCACAGCATACTGGAAGTCTCTCTTGCTACTTTGGTTGTAGTGTCCTATAGCAAACAATCTTACGGTGAAGAACTACACTGGAATAAAAAGTATCTAAAAATGATTAGGAAAGCTGACACTGTGATCTAGAATATCAAGATAAAAAAGTTGCCAACCGGAAGAAAGAGCAAGGAGAACTGCTTATTTTAACATGGCTTTGTTGGGACATTCTTAAGGACTGTCAAAAACAGGTCTTCCTCTCTCTCTGTGACCCTGGGAGCTAGAATTGCTCTTAGCTGCATTTGTAGCTTTCGTCATGCAAGCCTTTGATTTTAGCTGACTAGAAACTGGTGCTGTAGTTACGGGTCATGAGTACAGATTGGCATTAGGGTAAGCAAATGTTAAACGTTCACCACTAGTGGGTGGTCCTTACGAGAAGTGAGCTCGTAAGTGGAATGAAGATTATGAATGAATGCACTCCAGCCGCTTAACCATGTTTGACCAGACCTAGGGCTCCCTCCCATTGCCCCACCAGGCATCACTGATCGCAGTCACCTGGCAGGACCTAACATTTGTGAAGAGACTACACACAATTTATTAGGAAAATTTTATATAATTTTTTTCTCTAGAAAAGGAATTTTTTTTTTTTTAATCCTCACCCGAGGACATTTTTTCATTTTTTGTTCAGGTAGAGTGGGAGGGAGAGAGAGGAACAGAGAGAGAGAGAGAAACATCGATGTGAAAGGAACACATCGAGTGGCTGTCACCCGCACGACCAACCAGGGCCGGGGACAAACTGCAACCGAGGTACGCGCCCTTAGCGGGAACCGAACCCGGGTCTCTCAGGACCGCAGGCCGACGCTCTAACCGCTGAGCCAAACCGGCCAGGGCTAGAAAAGGAAATTTAAGGCAGTATAACTTATTTTATCTTTTATTGGTTGGTTGTTTGAATATGCTTGAATTTCACATTGTAGTTGACTAGGCTTTTTAATACACATTTGTCTGGGAGGATTAGAACTATATCAAGATGATTAATTTATGCTTAACATAATATTGATAATTTTTGTGTTAACAAACTAATTTTAAGGTATTAAATATTTAGCAGAAACAGATAAACAGGTGCCATAGTCTTATCTCTTTTCAAAACCAGAGGTCTAAAATCAACTAGGAAAATTTTCAAATTACCCTTTTGTTTTAAATTTTACACTATTTGAAACTATTCAAATTATTTATCTGTAAAGAGATACAGAAACTTGTTCATTAAGAATTTGGTTTGGGCCCAACCAATGTGGCTCAGTGGATTGAGTGTCGTCCCATGGACTGAGAGGTCCCGGTTCGATTCCTGATCAGAGCACATACCCGCATTGCTGGCTTGAATCCCAGTGACAGACATGCAGGAGGCAGCCAATCAATGTTTCTCTCTCACATCAATGTTTCTATTTCTCTATCTCGTTCTCTCTCTAAAAAAATCAATAAAAATATATTTAAAAGAGGAATTTGGTTTGGCACATATGAAAACTTAATTGGTCATTGAAAATCTAAATTTGTGATTTTTGAAATTGTGTATTAAGTGTTTGGGTATTTTTTTAAAATTATTTTTTATTGATTTTTAAAATATTTTAAAGTTTTTATGATTTCCTTACAGAAATGTCAAATATAGCACCAAGCAAAACATGAAACTAATAAATCTATTTTCAATTCTCTGTGTAAATAATGTCTAATGGCAGATAAAAAGAAAATCTTGATTTTCATGAACAAAATACAATGTCTTTAAATAACAGATGTAAAAAAATGTGTTCTTGCCTCCTATGAGTGTTAATGTATATGAGCTTTTAATTTTATATACATAAACACAAATATGTATCCAGTGTACTAATTATAAAATTATAGTACAACATTCTTGGCCAATGAGAGTCCCAAAGAGCTCTTGATTTTCTGCCCTTACCATACAAAGGTTAACTTTGAGGATTAATTTTTATTTTTATTTTTATGAGCAATATAACTAAAGCTGATTTATTTCTTAACATCTCTTGATTTATAAACAGAAAATTTCTATTTGTGCACAATCTCCCATTTAGCACTGTCACAAGGATATTTAAATTAATCATGAATTTAAAACCAAATATCAAATATCAGGAGAACAAATCTCGTCTAAGGTGTATTTTGTAGCTCAATCATATTCTCTTTTTTCTTTGAAAGTACATCTTTTTTCCTTGAATTTATTTTGAAGATATTTTACCAGTGCATTGAGATGGAACCGCTTTGATCTAATTATCTGATATTATAATTTAGCAGCATATGAAGACATCTTTTTATTTATTTATTTATTATTAATTAATTAATTAATTTATTTATTTTTTATCCTCACCCAAGGACATTTTTCCATTCTTTGTTCAGATAGAGTGGGAGGGAGAGAGAGAAAGAGAGAGAGAGAGGAAACATCGATGTGGAAGGGACACATCAAGTGGCTGCCACCCGTATGACCCAACCAGGGCTGAAGACAAACTGCAACAGAGGTACATGCCCTTAGCAGGAACCTAACCCGGGTCTCTCTGGACCACAGGCCAACGTTCTAACCGCTAAGCCAAACCGGCCAGGGCTGAAGACATCTTTAAATGATTTACTAGATTAGATTGTGAAAATCAGGGCATGATTTTTTGCTGACTATGAGAAACATTGATTTAATTATTTTGCAATACCAAAATATCATTTTCTAAGAAACAAAATTAAAGAAATTCTTAAATGTAAAATTTAAAAATATTTTGCAGTACAAATGTACCTATACATACAAATGTCTTTGTCAACATTCTGGAGCAAGACATAAAAATGGAAATTAAGAACGAAGTAGTACAAACTCAAATATCAACTCACAAAACTGGAGCATAGTACTTGGACATTTTTATTTCATATTTTGCAGTAATTACGCAACATTTATAGTTACAAATCATGTTTATAAACTTATTTTGGGATGTGGATCATAGGTTTTTACCATTTAGAAGACAGAACAACTTATTATTTATTTTTATTGATTTTAGAGAGAGAGGAAGGGAGAGAGAGAGAGAAGCATCGGTGTGAGAGAGAAACATGGATCAGCTGCCTCCTGCATGCCCCCTACTGGGGATCAAGCCTGAATCCCAGGCATTTGCCCTAACGAGGCAGGAATCGAACTAGTGACCTTTTGGTGTTCAGATGGCACTCGACCAACTGAGCCGCACCAGCCAGGGTGAAGACAGAACAACTTAAAGAACAATTTTTGGAGCTGTAAATGTGGATGGATTTACTGGAAATAGATCAACCATGTCTTCCTTTTTCAAAAAGTCTTTTATATGCATATTATGTTCCTTTTGACATAGACTATCAGGCATGGCTTCAACCATTTTTGATGGGATTATTATAAAGCTGCACATACACTATATTGAGATTTTGCTGACTTTAATTCTGACAAAGCTCTTGCTATTTTATTAACATTTATATTTATGGAGTCAATTCATAAACAAGTCTTGCAGGACCAATAGAACATGAAATTATCAAATGTTTACATATTTACAGGCTAGGTGACTTAAGAAATAAAAACACTCCATCACATATTACTTAATAGACTATTGAGAATTCATTAGGACTTTTTCCCCTGCAAACAAAGATCCTACCAACTTTACCTGATTGTGCTTTTAGGTGTTGTGCAACGTAAAATAGGATGCCATCTGTAGAAAAAGGCCGGAACTGCAGTTGAATATGTGTCTTTTTTCGAATACGAAAGGGAGCAAAAGACATCCAGGATAATTCGTGGCTTCTGAAAGATGGATCACTTATAGAAAAAGCTAAAGAACAAAACAAGACAACAACCCGAGTTTCAAAATTAACAATATTGCTCATAAATGCAGTAAACTCAAAAATTTTATCACTTACTTTATCTTCCAAGGGTTGCTCCTACCTGCACAAAAATTGACCCTTGGTCACTCTGTTCTTATCCCACCAACAGTAGGCTTTTTGTAATGGAGCCAGTAACACCTCCTATCATTTCTGGTAACTATGTTCCTATTGCTGGCACCGTACAACATAAGTCCTCTCTGCTCTGGATTGCACTGTAGACAGGCATCAGATGGGTTGATTCTGAGAATGTCTTATTCTTATCTCAAGAATGAGAGCTTCTTAAAATGTTTTACATTAACAGTGCTTTCAGAAAGATGATTCAACTAGTGGCTCATAAAAGGCATCAATTCATGAATTATTCTTCAGTTTCTATATCTCCAATTAAAATACAGAGTATAATTGAGTCAAGATACATTTTAAGTGATTATATAAGCGGAAGTAAATGTCAGTTTACTTGACAATACTTTAGGTCCACATCTCTTCAAAAAGTGCTAACTCTTGAGTTTTACTTGATGCTAAGCATGAGAAGAGTCATTTCAATGTGAATTGAAGTAGCCATTTCACTGGTTTATAGTCCATCAGGTGTTAGCTGTTGCTTCTGTGTATAATCAACCAGATGGGGACTATGAGAGGAAGAAGGACAGTTCTGAACACTTGACAGTTTCGATCTCTTTATGGAATCTATATTCCTTCTTTCTTTCTCATTTTGTTTGTTTTTAACCCTCATCCAAGGATATTTTCCTATTTATTTTCGGACAGAGTGGAAAGGGACAGAATAGAAAGGGAGGAGAGAGAGAAAGAGAGAGAGAAAAACATCGATGTGAGAGAGACACATAGACTGGCTGCCTCCTGCATGACCCAGACCAGGGTTGGGGACTAACCGAGGCATGTGCCCTTGACTGGTATTGAACCTGAGACTCTTTGGTCTGCAGATTGATGCTCTAACCACTGAGCCAAACCGGCCAGGCTCTTCCTCATTTTGTAATGAGACCATGCTTCTTAGAGCATCTGGCTCACCACATGCTTTGAGCCATTAATCTATTTACTTGGCCTTTCTCCCTTCAGACCAGGCCTTTGCTAACTGTTGTCTTTCACTTTTCGGTTGGTAGGCAACTGGTGGGTGTTTATCCAGGAGACGTTGACATTTTCTGAGTTTTAAGCAACTACGTCATTCATTTTGATTTAGTGCAATTCAGAATGGTAGAGATTAGAATTGTGCAGTGTGGTTGCCAAGAATTCGAAGTCCTGTGTCTCACTCCTAGAGGGTCGGATTCATTAATGCTGAGATGGGGTCAAGGAAGTATATTTTTCATAAGCACCCAAGTGTTTTCTGACTTAAGTATTACTTAGACCACATGTTTATAAACACTGAATTCAAGTTTATTTTAAGAATACAGGGATAGTTTGTTTGTTTGTGTATTTATTTATTTATTTGGTGCATGCCCCTAGCGGGAACTGAACCCAGGACTCTCTGGTCTGCAAGCCGACGCTCCAACTGCTAAGCCAAACTGACCAGGGCAGAATACAGGGATAATTTAAGAAATGGGCATCCTTGCCTGGCTGGTGTGGCTCAGTGGTTGATCGTCAACCCACACACAAAGAGGTCACCGGTTCAATTTCTGGTTGGGGCACATGCCCAGGTTGTGGGTCAAATCCCCAGTGAGGGGCATGCAGGAGGTAGCCAATCGATGTTCTCTCTCATTGATGTTTCTATCTCTCTCTCTCTCCCTCTCTCTCTTCTTCTGTCTCTAACATCAATAAAAGAAAAAAAAAAGTGAAAAAGATAAATAAAAATAAAAAGTGGGCATCCTATTGAAATTGTCCTTGTAGTAATTACTAAGGTAATACATGCTCATTATAAGACATTTAAACAATGCAGAAGAGTGTGGAGTGAAAAGGTGAAACTTTGGTCCAGCTGGTGTGGCTCAGTGGTTGAGCATCAACCCACGCACCAAGAAGTCACTGGTTCGATTCATGGTCAGGGCACACGCCCAGGTTCTGGGCCTAATCCCCAGTGGGTGGCATGCAGGAGGCAGCCATTCAATGTTCTCTCTCATCGATGTTTCTATCTCTCTCTCCCTCTCACTTCCTCTCTCTCTGAAATCAATAAAGAAAAAAAAAAAATATGAAACTTTGTTGTTCTTTCTTCTCTCTTCATTCCCAGGAACCACGGTTAACAGCTTATTGAATGTATACCCACACTTTAGTTTTCAGTACACGTACAATTTCTGTGTGTGTATATCTAGTAGTATCTGATTCACTTCACATAAATGAAACCATGTTTTATATAAGCTATGCAGAGTACACTTTTTCACTCAATAATTTATCTTCATGAAATTCTGATGTTAGCATATTTCGCCTGTTGTTTCAATGCATAGATAGTTGATACCTTTTATTGCTGAATTTTGATGATTTTGTCCATTAACTTGTTGCAGCATAAGCAGCACATGGAACGCTCTGATGTCTGAGAGGGTCTGCCTGCGTGGACAGGTGGGAACACACAGAGGACCCGAAAAACTGATTCAGCAAATCATCTCTGTCATCACTAAATTAGCTGCAGAACATTTCCGCCGTGTTGCATTTTTTGGTAGAATTTGGGGGATGTCAAGGTTTTCCAGTGACTCACCAAGTCATTCTGACAGTGAATCATCTTTAGGAGACTTTGCTAATCAGTGTAGGTTAATTAAAAAAAACAAAACACCAACACCCCTTCTCTTGGACAGCTCATCTACTGGGTCTGGTCAATGGCCTCAGAGCTGGTCAGGGTGCGAGGCAGTTTCAAAGGGCTCCTTTTCTCAGCGGAATAATAGCTAATAATTCACGTGGCTTCCAAATTACATCAGCTTCACTCATGACCTCACTTTTGTTCTCTTATTTGTTATAAATAGGACTCCCGGAGAAATTACTTATATTTATATTTACCACTGTTTCACAAAGTAGCCTTGACTGAAACGAGGCCAGTAAAATATGACGAAAAGGAAAGCAAAGTGTGCTGATTAGTGAGGTGGGAACATTGCAGTGCAGAGATGCACCATCTGATTTAGTGCATCCATGGGTTTCTAAAACAGCAACACTTTGAGCAAATACAGGGGTGGGGCGAAACTGGGTTTACCGTTTCGAAACACAGAGTGTATTGTTATATTATTATTTACTAATTGTTATATTATTTTCTATACCAACAACTGTAAGCCTACTTTTCACCACCCCTGTAGATGTCTTCAAAGCACCAGAGTAGGTGATAAGGGACCTCAGAGGAAGAATCTTTGGCATGAGTAAAGATTGCTTCAGAAAGAGCACAGGTGGGCGTATTATCAAAGATCACAGGAAAGGTGTAGGGGCTTGAACTGATTTATCGAAAAGGCTGGACTTGGTAGGACGTAGTTTGATCTTTTCCCTATGATCGCCCCTTGGACATGCTCTGTGGAATCTTTTATTCTCATTCCTGTGGATATCTTGGGTACATTTTTTATCTTTTTGACCATTTTCAGGTCTCGGTGAAGTATCATTTTCAGGTATTAAGAAACCCCATTCAATCTGAACCAAAACCTCAATCTGTTGCCTAATTCCAAGCTTCTATTCTTCCTTCATAGCTCAGATCTCATCTGAACTTGAAAAATGAAGTGGAAGGGAGAGGTGTGTGTTTTGTTGTTTTGTTTTAAATATGATTTTATTGATTTTTTTTAGAGAAATAGAAACATCAATGTGAGAGAGAAACATCCACTGGGGATTGAGTCTGCAACCTGGGCATGTGCCCTGACCGGGAATCTAACCGGGGCCTCTCAGTCCCGTGGGACGACGCTCAGTCTCCTGAGCCACACCGCTGTCTGTTTTTTTTGTACTAATCCTTGCTTTCCTCCTTCACCTTGCTGCTTTGCTTTGCTGCTTTCAGCTTTTCCGAGATGACGTTGAGGATCAGTGATTAGAAGACCACTGAAGGGTCTTTCTTGTCCGCAGCTTTTGGTCGTCATTCTCAGCTGTCTAATGTCCTCTGTCGCCACAGACTGTCCTCTGGACCCTTCTATTGTCCCTCCCCTCTCCACTGGTCCCGCCTCCCTGCCGTTCCTGACAAGGCCCACGCACCTTGACAGACTTGTATGGGTTCCACTCAGCTTTTGCTCTTGTTACATGCTTCCACCCTCTTTCAGCTTGAGACAACTGACCTGTACGGGTAAGGTTCTTTCAAGGTGACCCATGCTTGCTTACCTTAGCTGGACCACATGCTTCTTGCCCTGTCCTCCGCCCCCGCCCCATCTACCCTGCCTCTAGTCGGGCCATTAGAGAAAGCTCCAGCCAGCTTTGTCTTCAGGCTACGTAGAGTGGGGCCAGGCGCTGGTTTTGTCTTCTTTCACTCTAGGGGATGTGGCTCTGGTCTTCCTGAGACCTCTTTTTTTTTTTTTAAATGTATTTATTTATTTTTTATTAATTAATTTTTGTTACAGATGTTTCTCCTTTTCCCCCCACTGATTCCCCCTTCCCCCTCCCTCCCTGCCCAGTCCCCGGTTTGTTGTCCATGTCCACTGTTCATGCATACATATTTATAAGTTCTGTGGTTTCTCTCTCCCCCACCACCCCCTCTTCTGGGGATTGTCAGTCTGTACCCCACTTCCATGTCTCTGGGACTATCCCATTCCTCAGACTGTTATGTTCATTATATTCCACAAATAAGTGACATCATATGATATTTGTCTTTCTCTGTTTGGCTTGTTTTACTTAGGATGATATTTTCCAGGTCCCTCCATGTCGTCTCAAAGGCTAAGAGATCTTTCTTTCTTACAGCTGCGTAGTACTCCATTGTGTATATGTACCACTGCTTTTTTATCCATTCGACTACTGATGGACACTTGGGCTGTTTCCAGATCTCAGCTACTGTAAATAGTGCTGCTATAAACATGGGAGTACATATATTCTTCCTGATTGGTGTTTCAGGCTTCTTAGGGTCTATTCCTAG